AATCGCTCTTTGTTCATACCAGTTGAACACTGAAAAATGAAGCAAAGTGCTCTAAATCGAATTTACAAGACTGATAACCATGCAGTTGGGGGGAGAGTAGCTACTGCATAACCTGTACTCTGTCAAGGTAATTTAATTATAGATGGTTATACTTCAGTATAATTTGTTAATGTGCGCTCCTTGCAAAGGGAGAATAATTCTCTCAAAGCATTGACAATTTTATATGCTTTTACCAGGATACTGTCAAAGGAAAGGGATTTTCACTGAATTTCATAATATACAGTTGCCTGGAGGAGGAATATCAATGAAGTGGAAAAGGGACTAAAAGGGACTAGCAGGGTGTGGGTTTGTTTTTTTTGTTGTTGTTGTTTTTTTTTTTTTCGGAATGAGGGGGGAGTTGATGTTTGGGGTTTTTTTTTGGCTACTGGTGTCTATATGTGAGAAGGAGGGGCAAAGAAATCCTCTTTATGAATTTGAATATATAAAAAAATGAATATATTTAGTTACTGTGCAATAGTTGGGAAGTAATTTTTTTAATAAAATATTGTTGTGATATCTTAGTCTTTTGGACCATTATAACTGTAATATTAATTTTAAATTTCACTTTTTTGAAAAACAGTAATGATCAAAGTTTAGATTAATATTCATTCTCTTTCTCACTCCCTGCTTTTCAGAAGTAAGTCTGAGAAGAGCCAGAGGTGAAGCTGGCTCGTTCTTTGTCCTTTCGGTCAAGACAATCTTTTGAAGAGCAGATTTAGAGAGCAGCCATAGCTGAGATGAGAGGTCAGCAGAGGCACAGAGCTATGGGATATATTGCTGGCTGTTGTGTTTGGTTTGTTTTTTTTTTTTCCTTAGTAGCTTAATATGAACTGTTTCTAACTGAGAGTTTTGTTTGTGAACAGAGATGATGCTTGGAGGAGGCCCAGCTTTCTCCATGCCTGGGTTGTGGGTGGTCTGTGCCGATGAACCCAAGTAGGAGTAGTGCTGTTTGGTAGTTCAGTCATTAAGTTCTTAAATCATTAGATGTAGCCACTTTCGAGTAAACTCTTCTTGGACACCTCTTCATTTTTGTGCTAAACAATACAGACTATCCAGCTCTGAAGGTTGCCGAATCAGAATTGCAGAATTAGGACTTGGTAATAATTTCTGGCTGGGTTTTAACTGGTAGTTTTGGCTTAGAATTGTGCATTTTCTCAGTTGGCTGTTGTGTTTCAGCATATCGTTGCGGTAAGCTGACTCGAGCTGTGAGGCTTGGTGTTGAAAAGTGCAGGAGATCAATGGGATGGTCAACATCTGGGAGCTGGACCTTCTTCCTGTCAATTTCTCCTCTTGTGTGTACAGCAAACCACAGGTTCTGTCACCTTCTCCAAATTTTGCAGACCTGTAAGTCTGTGGATCCATAGGAAAGGAACTCTCAATTGTGCTTTATGGAGCAGGTAGGACGGACTTGAGGAGTAATAGGGATTGCCTAGGGAGTAGTATATATGAAAACTTATGTGAGAGACTGAGTATTTATTAGCATTTCAGTGAAGCACTCTTACTGCTAATAAAAAAAAAAATGACGCAGCATCTACAAGGAGGGCCACAGGAGGAGCCCTAGTAGGTTTCAGCATTTTACCCAGGCAGATTTGTTCTTCCTGGGTTCAGCAAGTTGTGAGACGCGGTGTGCTCTTCTCCCCGAGGTGAGGCTGATGTTTCATGGAGGGAGACCTTCAAAATCTGCGAGCCCTCTAGAAAGAGCAGTATATCTGCCCAGCCCAAAAAAATCAGTATTAACGTGGCTGATGTTTTATTGTTTATTTTGAAGAGTGCTGTGCTTTGTTTCATATATGATGGACAGGAAGTATTTTGTGCAGTCTTTTCTGTCAGGAGAGGGCAGATGGGTTATTCTGGATAACTGAAAGGGTACAGTAAGGAAACAAATTTTATATGTCATCTGAACATCAGCTTGGTCCTTGAAGGACACAAAAAGGTATGATTCTTCTTCTCAGTACCTTCCTGGGAACTGTGCATTACAGAAGGAAGCATATAATGCATGACATTTAGTAGTGATTTTTCTTGAGAGGGACCTTTAGGTTTTGAAGCTAAATAGTTTTTGCATGGTTTAGCACAATATAAAAAGTCCAATAACTGAAATGAGGCATAAAGCCTCATTTCATCTTCACTATGTGCATTTCAGCACAACCTTCATAATGATGTTTTGCACTTCTATTGCCCATACAATCAAAATACTTCATAATACTTTGGAAACATTAAAGAACGATTATTGGTTATAAAAGCACACTTCCATTTTTTACCTACTATTATTTGCAGTAGCCCAGAAGATAAGTGGTAGTGAAAGCAGTTGGGTAAAGAAAGTGGCAATCTGTTACCAGTTCTGTTTTGTGCACTTCACATCATTATCTATACAATCAGTTTTACTGACTTGGTGTTCCAGTATGCATCTTTCGGACGGGACAAAAGGAAGGAGAAAGGGAATTGAAACAAGAACGAGTAACTCCTAAGTAGATGAATGGGCGTGTGGTACATGAAATAGCTTTTAAAAAAACAACACAAAATTTCCTTTTGCCTAGCAGTCCGCAGAAGGATATCGCTGTTATGTGGACTGACCCCTAAAGCATGAGTCTCAACCCATCATTGCATGTGATAACAGCAGCGAGTTAAGTCTGTCTGCTTTTGAATATTTGTTCTTAATGTGTTTTATGTCACACTGAGTTCAAGTTGGCTGCTTTTTCATTTTTCGTTCTTCATTTTGTGTGTCTGTTTTGCAGTGAGGTTTCGAAGCTGTGATGCAAACAAAAAAATACACTTTGGAAGCAGTGAGCCAGAAGACTTCAGAATAGGCGAAGATGGTGTGGTGTACGCAGAAAGAAGCTTTCAACTTTCAGCAGAGCCCACAGAGTTCGTCGTGTCTGCTCAAGACAGGGAAACCCAGGAAGAATGGCAAATGAGAGTGAAGCTAACCCCTGAACCAGCCTTCGCAGGGACTTCAGAAAAGGTAAAACAACAACTAAATGCAGCCTGTATAAATGTATCTGCAAACAAGCCTAAAAATAGGGACTTGATTCTTTCTGTTGTGTACCGCTCCATGAGGTGTTTTATTAATGGACAGCTAGTGCATGCAAAGCTGGAGCCTCAGGAAGAACGTTTTTATAGCCTGTTATTCTGTAGCTTCGCTAAGGCATGGAGAGGCATGCCTGTTTAAGTATATAGGATTCGTTTATGTTTGAGCTTTTTTTGTTTGTATAGTTTGAGATTTATACCTGAATTTAAGTTGGACACGGTCATTTCTTTATTTTAAATTGCTTGAAAGTATTACGGTATTTATTCAAGCGGTTAAATATAACCACAAAATAAACAAATTTGTGCTAGAATGCATCAGTCACGTTTATTAGATGGGAGCTGTAGATTTACAGCAGTAGTAGGAAAGCATTTCTGGCAGGGAATATTGGCTTTGTCTTGTCCCTTCATAATCAAATTGGAGATTGTAAATTATTCATGACTCCAGCGCTACTTGATAAGGAAGATAGTCTCCCTCTGCTGGAAGCTGCCATAGGATAAACCATGTACTATAACAAAAATGAAACCTAGCAATATACAAATAACAATGCGTGTGTTTCAGGAAAACAGTATTAGGTCTATTACCTTTTCCTGTTATATTACTTGCTGCCTGCTGTTTCTTACCTTCTTTTATAAAGTGCTTAGCTTACAAATAAAGAATGAAATTTATTCATAGATTAACGTATCTGTAATAGGTACTCATTAAAGATTTAAGCAATAACGTTAAAATAGACAGTGTGGTTATGCAACACGTTTTTCCCGAGAACACTCTGGAGACCAAAGCTGTATAATCCTCAGTTTTTTGTTTACTTGATGCTTGTTTTAAATCTTCTAGGGCATGCTCTCAACGAGGAAATGTCATTTTGTCCGTAAAAGTCTAGTAATAAAGAGCGGATGCTTAGGTATGCCAGAGCATGCCCTGTTCTCTCCACAGATCCAATTCAGGCATCCTTGCCATCAGCAGAATGTAGACTGGTGGAAAACCTGGCCTTCAGTTGGGCATCTGTGGCATATCTGATCAGAATTTTTTAAAAAAGTTTTTATCTTAAATCTTGGAAAAAGCTTTTTTGCCCTGTCTCCACCCTTAAGCAAGCTAGCATGGTTATGTGCATGCTGGCATCCAAAGGCTGAAATGAGAGCAGATATAGAAGGGAACAGGAAGGGAACGTTGACACCCAGCAGAGATTAATGCCCAATGTGTAAAGTGGGTCATTTACTGCATCCATCATGGCTGACATAGGTTTAAAATAATTACAGCATTAATTCTATGGGATTTAATAGGGTCATAAATATTTGAGGCATTCCCTACCAGTATGTATTAAACTTCTCTTGGAACTCAAATTATATTTTAGCACACCCAGATCTAAATTTAATGTACAGTAGCACATTACCTGAACTGAAGTTCTAGCTAATGAGAAATATATAAAGGCATACTATTAAATTCTGCAAAATATTAACTACTTTTCAGAAAGTGTAGAATAGTTTACACAGTAGTGCCATCTTATAAATGGTTTATAATTCCATTTCTCCTCCAACTTGAACAAGGGAAAAAGAAAAGGAGTGCTTAAAATTTTGCAGTGCAGTTGTAAATAACATTGGTTGTTTTCATACTGCACTGTGAATGCAAATAAAACAGTTCTGTGAACAAAGACAGCCTTTCAGTCAATTATGTAATTGTATCTGAGTTACTTTATAATGTCTACTAGTAATTCCCCTTCTAACATGTGCTCGATTTTATCTTGTACCTGGGAAAGGACCAAAAGAAAATAGAAGACATCGTATTTCCATGGCAACAATACAAGCATAGCAGCCCTCTGAAGAGGCAGAAGAGAGACTGGGTTATTCCTCCAATCAACCTACCAGAAAATTCCAGAGGACCTTTTCCTCAGGAATTAGTTAGGGTAAGGAAGTTAATAGAAGTGTGGTTTCAGTGTCCCCCAGAGAGCTCTTGAAGAGGTTTTGTGTAAATGATGTCTTGTTCGTTGTCCAGATAGTTATCAGAGTCTTTGGGCTGGTTTTCGTTATTGCCTCTCTGCGTAGTGGGCTGGGCTGCATTTGCTAGGTTTTTTTTAAGTTGTCTCTGTGCTCCTGTAGTGGTGGAAAGTGACCTTGGTTCAGGTGATAAGTGCTGTGATAACTTCCTTAAGTGGTTAAGGAGGATCTCTGCCAGTTCAGGAGTTGTCCACTCTTCTACACTGGAGTTTTCCACCTGAGGAAGGGTGTGGAGGGGTGAGTGGGAGGAGTAGTGCACCAGGAGGCAGGAGGAAACGGGATGTGGTGGCGTGAGGCCACCAGCTGCTCCACAGGACTCTGCAACAGAGGCTCTCCAGCACGGGAGAAGGCTTCCAGCCATGGTACTGGTTGGCCATGATCAGCTTCTACAAGGGTTTGTTAGAACTTGGTAGACCATTAGCCCAAGTTGATAGGATACAGTTTTGCTCTGCTTTGTTGGTGTGCATGCCGGTGATTCACCTGCTCTACACAGATGCATTGCCCTTCAATTTTTTCCTTGGAAGATAAGACCAAAGTTCAGTCTTTAAACAAAAACAGCGAGTTTTCTAAAGGGCTACTGCTAGTAGCAGAAGAGAGTCTGTAGCTTTGGTCTGGGAAGATAAAGAAGTTGAGGGAGAAAAGAACCAAAACAGACTTTTTATCTCTTACGTAATTTTATGATAGCATATGTTTTCTCTCGGATCTAAACAATTCTGTTTAAGGTAATAATACTTATTTATTTTGATTTAATGCAGTTTATCGTATTATGAGGAATACGGAGGGATATTTTTATGTTCCTGAAAATTAATTGACCAACTTTCTGACAAACAAAGAGTGAATTGAAAACTTCAAGCTTTATAATAACTTTATACAATTTCCAGAAAAAATAATTTTACAAGTTTAGCTTAAAGATAGAAAAAAAAGAAGAAAAAGCTGCTGCTCGTCTCTGCAGCAGGCCGTCCACTGGTTGTATGTAGCTAATGTAAACATTTTCTCTTTTGACACGTAGATTAGGTCCGATCGTGATAAAAGCCTCTCCCTGCGGTACAGTGTCACTGGCCCAGGAGCTGACCAGCCTCCAACAGGCATCTTCATCATCAACCCCATCTCAGGACAACTGTCTGTGACAAAGCCTTTAGACCGGGAGCAGATTGCTTCTTTTCATGTAAGAGTTTAATTTACCATAAATCAGATTATCAAATTGAAGATTAACATCTGCTTCAAACGTGACTTGAGCAGCCGCCGTTTAGTTTTCTACGAGATATGATTTGAAGAGTTTGCAGCAGATTTGTATTCATTGTACTTACTAAGGCTAGCTCTTACTGTGTTTAAGCAGCTTAAATATATTAACATACATAAACAGTGATTACATGTATTTAGATAAAGTAATTTTAAAAGATCGAAATATGGATACTGTAGCTTGTATTTCAAATACAGACCAATGATCACAGTCTCCACTGTATTGTCTATTTTTCAAAAGTTTACTTTTAATTCAGCAACTTAAATTAGGACGTGACTGCTATTAGAATTGCAGCAGCTGTGATTTGAGAAATGGATGGGAAGAATAACCTACCGATTTTCATTTTCAGGGACAAATCTAAGCATTTTAATGGAATTGTAAATTAGGTCTGTCAGCTTATGAAAATGATATTCTTTGCTCTAAAGAAATTGACAAAGTAGACCACGGATTCCAGTATTAGTAGAAACGAAAGGTTTGAAGGAAAGGGGGAGACCAGGCTGTGACCTAAGGTTGTCTCTGCTTTTGAAAGACCACGCTGAAATCGGCTGCTAGAGAGAGTTTCCAGCATGTTGTAGACTAAAACACTCCTTGCGTCACGCTCCGGGAAGCCCTTTGAGTGCTGCTCCCAAACAGAGGACGCAGCAGGAGGGATCTGGAGGGAGGCAAGGGGAATGGCTCTCACAAGAGCATGACCACTCCAGCATCCGTAAGATTTTTACTGAGAATTTGGCATTGGCAATTCAAGATTTACTGACTTAGGAATTTACATTTATATGAGTCATTTCCAGAGTGGCGAGTTAATAATGCCCTCTTGCTCCTTTCTAGTAGATTTGTAGCCAGAAGAGATGTGTGTGTGTGTGTGTGTATAATGGGCTT